GGCAAATACTTGTACCCTAAAAATAATTTCAGAATCTTCCCCTAGCAATACTCAAGTAACACACTAATTGACAGTATCTAAAGCCTGCGACTATATTAACTAAAACAGTAGCATGAAATATTTCCTATAATTAATTACTTAAAAAAAAAAAAAAAAAGAGTCCCTACCTCAAACCTTAAAATGTAATACTTTAGTTAATGTAATCTCAATTCCTTATATGGGATAACCAAAGAATTGATTAATCTCATATCAGGTCTACTTTATATTTTAAAATAATTTATCTCTATAACCCTTACTCTTCATATAACTTACACATTATACCCATTTCCATCTCTTAAATTTCAATCAATTGTGTATTGCCTCTAGTATTTTTTGCTGTATCTATGTACTACCTATATTTACTTAACTTACAGAAACTGATTCACACTTTAACAGCTTTATTGAGATACAAGATTTTTAGTATTTATATAGAGTTCTGCAGTCATCACCGCAATCTAATTTTACAACATTTCCATTACCCTCAAAAGAAATCCTATACCTATGGCAGACACTCCCCTTTCAAAACTCTGCCAACCATTCCTCCAGCCCTAGGCAACCATTAAATATCTGCTCTATGTCTTCATAGATTTGCTCATTCTCGACATTCCATAAAAATGAAATCATAGTGTGTGTGGTTTTTTTGGTGTCTGGCTTCTTTTGCGACTGTCTACAACTAGCTAAAACTAGTTCTATTTTCCTATCTCAAGTTGTTTTATAAAAGTTGTCTTGCAGGATATGAACTGGGCATGTGCATAGAGAAGGACCTTGACGTCCAGATGACCTCAAGCACTGCAGGAACCAAAGATCTTCAGTCCATGGAACTAAAAAGCTGGAAATTGAACCATCAGAGCCTTTCATGAAGTGAGGGGTCCTTCAGCAAGGGAGATCTGGCATCCAATAGCTTCGTAACCATATGCGGACTGAATCGTAGCTAGCCAATCAACTTCCGTCCCATCATACGGCCTGATCCAAAGCTAGCCAATCCATTTTGCCTCATTACCATATATGGCCTGATTCAGAGCTAGCCAATCAATCAACTTTGCCCAGTCATATGGTCTGATTCTGAGGTAGCTAACCAATTTTGCCCAATACCCCTTAAAACCAGCCCAGCCTCTGGATTGGGGAGACAGATTTGAGAGCACCTTGCCTCTGGTTTCCTTGCTGGTTGACCTCGAATAAAGCCTTTTCTCTTCTCAAAAACTGGTGCCATAGTATTGGCTTTTGTGCACACTGGGCAGAGAGCCCTTGTTCAGTAATACTTTCACTTAGCATAATGTTTTTAAGGTTCATCCAGGTTGTAGCAGGCATCAGTTACTTCATTCTTTTTTATTGCTGAATAGAATTCCATTGTATACCACATTTTGTTTATCCACTCACCAGTTAACGGAAATTTGGGTTACTTATGAATAATGCTATTGTGAACATTTGAGTACAAGTCTTTGTGTGGACATGTTTCTGTATTTCTTGGTTTCACCTAGAAGTAGAACTGCTGGGTCATATGGAAACTCTATGTTTAACCTTTTGGGAAACTGTTTTCCAAAGCAGGTTCATAATTTTACATTCCCACCGACAATGCGTGAGGGTTTCAACTGACTCACATTTTTAACTTAACTGATTTTATTTATCAGTTCTGTAAAACTGATATTTAAAGCCCTAGTCTAAAACTGTTCTCTTTCTGTTAGAACTAACACCTAAGTGGAAACTTTCTCCTTGACATTTCTTACTGAAATATCTGAAAAAGAACTGAAAGAGAATAGTATTCTTACCATGTGATTCAATGTAACTTATTGCTACATCATGTACTACTAAAAATCACCTTGATTACCACCTAAAGTCAGCTAAATGTCCCACACTGTAAGAAACAAAGTACTTGGTGATATCTAGTTTTTTTCCCAAGAGCTTGTAGTCAGTTTTGGTCAACATACCAACAGTTATTGGCTCATTCTGAGGTAAGCAAAATTTTAAAAATATATATGTTATAAGCTAAAAGGCATATACCACTCAGCATCTTAAACAGAAACTTAAAATCCTGTTATTAGAGGATGGTCTCTACCCCAAAAGATAAAATTCGATTCCCTTTTTGGTTAGCACAATTAAAAGTACTTAATGATAGATTAATGATAGCTATAGGAAAGATATCAGTCATTGAAAATAACTTTAAAAATTCATCAGCTTAAAAATGCTAGGAGATAAAGTTTGGTCTTTACTATAAAATTTTACTTCCATGCCATCATTAAAAGAAAACACAGAGTGTAAGAAATTTAATTTACTTACTAGACTGTACAACAGCTTGAGTCTGTGCAGAAGTTCCTGATGCTATATTAGTTAGTGCCCAAGCAGCTTCAAACTGTAATGAAGGACTGTAAAAAACAATTAAAAATCTTTTTAGACACATAACTACCACTTCAATTTATGAATCTCAGGCCTGTATGGCTATCCCTTATACTGTCCTTGAATTTCATCTTGTTATATACAACTGCCTGCTGGACATCACTATCTGAATATCTCACTGGATTCCAAAGCTAGTCACTATAAACCCACTTCTGTACATCTACTGGTAGTTGCAACATTTAGCCAGTCATTATTTCCCTTGACTCCTTCCTCTACCACAGACACTACATCTAATCAATAAATCAAGTCAATTTTACCTCCTAAATACTTCTTACATTTACAGAATTACCCCCTAGGTCACTGTGCTAGTTGAGATGTGTATGGATGACGAGGAACAGATCAAGAGAGTTAAGCCAAGGAGATATGCAAAAAAAAAAAGTGTGTGTATTGAATGGTGAGAGTGGAGAGTGTGTCTCAAATCCCAGGCATCAGAACTTGGAATTTATAAAGTGTTATCGAAAAGGGGAATAAAGAAAATAATGTTGGAATCAATGGTATGCAGAATAGGTAAAAAAAAAAGGTTAAAGGCTAATGTAGGAGAGACCTGTTAAAAGAAAACTATGGACATTAAGTTAGGACAGATAGCCAAAAGAATATAAATTCCCTTAAGTAGTATACCAAAGTAGCAAGGGATGTAGTGAGCAAAAACTAAGACAAGCCAAAAGTTAGAAAATTAGAAGAAAAGGCTGCAAATTGAAGAAAGAAAGAGAGGTTGTTAGTATCAAAAGGTTAAAGAGATCCAAGAAGGAAAACGTTTTAAGGAGAATAAATGTCCTAGTGCATAGCAAACAGTACAGGTTAAAAAGATGAAATGGATGAGAAAGTGTAAGAACTACATGATGAATTCTGACAGAAGGAAAGGAATAAGAAGGTATCAGAGGCAGAAGAGAAGCTAAAGGACAATAATATCAAAGATGATAAGATGGTGTATGTTGTCCCAGGCTGGAAGGAGAAAGAGCTATTAAGCTGGTTAAGTGGTTTGGCAAAATACCGGAAACAGGGGCCTTAAATGAGAAATGGAAACATGTAAAAACTAAAATTACAAAGCCAGGAAAAGTATTCCAAAATGTCGTGTGAAAAAGAGAAAGAGATAAGATGTAAAAAAAAAAAAAAAATGAGAAAAATAAGTAAATAATAAATGAACATCATAAGCTTGATATTATGTAGTGTTTTGTACATATATATAATTTCTATTCCTCACAACCACCTAATTTTTATAGATAAGGTATCTGAGGCTCAAAAGCCACTTGGGTTTTGGCTAACATCAAACCCTAATTTTAAACCGGGGTCTACTTCACTGTAAAGTCTACGGTCTTTTACACTATAGCACCACTTCCCACGACAAATCCATAAAGTCAGATCCAAACCACTGACAATTTTCTATTCTTGCTTTAGGTGGTGGTTACACAAGTCTGTGTTTTATAATTATTCATTAAGCTTTCTATATTTTAGCATACTTTTCTGTATATATGCTATGTTCCATAGATGTACCCACACAAATGAGTCTATGCCAAAGCTGGAAAGAAAAGGAGAAAATAAAAAAAAGAAGAAAAGTGGACCAATAACAAAAAAGGGGTCCTAAAGGTGGAGGCAGAATTTATTTTCTAAACAGCTGAAGTAAAACTTACCTTTACTTAAATAAAACTTGTTATAGAAAATACACATGATAGTATAAAAATTGGTAAGGGCCTGGGAGTGAAGGGTGAGGAGAGTTGTGGCACACAATGGAAGCAGAAGGTACTTTTAAATACCCGTGGTATCTAGTCAACTGAAAATTCCTGGACAACACCTTGCGAAATATCCCAACTTTCAGTCTAAATGCTCTTAAATGCAAAAACAGAATTTGTTTTAAAGTATTTTGGAGTTCAAACCTACATTCTCCCCAGTTAATTCAAACTGATGAAGTTTAAGATATAACACTGAGATATCTTAAACACAAATGGAAATAAGGCCAGTACCTCAAAAGATATCAAGTGATATTCTTCCCTTTCTCTTCTGAATAAGTATAACTTGCCCCCTTATTCTTAATTTGCCACAAACAAAAAGCATGATGTTGGACAACTAATCATGACTGGAGTTCTGTTAAAGACAACACAGAGATCAGCTGAAATATTCCCAGGGGAAAAATGAGCTACTTAGTTCTGGAAACCATTCATGCTGACACACTCATGAGGTTAATCTATATATAGAATCATAAGCAAAGAGTGACTCAAATACTATTTGGGTGTTTTAAAATATTACTAATAAAAAACCCTAACTAATAAAGACTAAATATTTGAGATAAATTAGAACAGGCAATAAAAAGCTAAATATTTCCTAGAAAATATATACATATTTTAGAAACTAAAAAGAGAAGCACTTTAGGTCTGCTGAATATGATCATAGGAGAATTACATAAAAAATGCATGACAGGGCCGAGCCCGTGGCGCACTCGGGAGAGTGCGGCGCTGGGAGCGCAGCAGTGCTCCCGCCGTGGGTGCGGCCGGTCTCAAAAAGGACAAAAAAAAAAAGCATGACAGCAGAAAACATAATAAACACAAAACCAAACTGAGCCCATTGGTTAAATAGCAATCCTAAATTTTAAGTTAACTGAAAAAAAGTGAATAGGAAGTCAAATCTATACTTACTTATCATCCCTTTCTAGACATTTGACTAGAATTGGTAAAATCCCAGATTTTATTAGGTCATCAATAGGTGGGTTTCTGTCACTGGATAACAGTTTTCTAGAAAAAGAATTATAAGAAATTAATTACTGTAATTTTCAAACTATGAACAGAAATAACAATGTATTCCTTCTAAACTATCAGCTAAGACACATGAGGTATGACATAATTCTCTCTTTGGACAAATTATTGTTACCTTGCTGCCTGGACAGCACTTAGCTGGACCACTGGGTTATCACTTGTGGCATTCTGCAAGACCAAATGTAAATTTCAGAAATTAAAGAATAAAAAATCAATTTCAAAACACTTCGAAATGAGAATATTAAATTAATAACATACCTGCAATATAGCTTCTAGTGTTACATTTTGCTTAAAAAGAAAAAAAGATAATTCAGCAGAGTTTGTTTGCAAAATTACAATCAAATAACTTATCTGCTAGAGTTAGAGTTAATGTACCTTAATTATTATTATAAAATTGGTTTTATATTAAAAATGTAGTTCTCCTAGTTACTATAAAAATTATTTTTAAAACACTTCAAAAAAGCAAGGTAACTTACTGCTTTAAAATCAGCATCAACATCTGAATCTTCTAAACTTTCTTCTTGAGGAACATTTCTTTTTTTCAATAAATGTTCATCTCTTTTGTTCTGAAAGACAACCAGTAAAATGCTTAAGAAGTCATGAAGGCTTTTGTTAATAAGAAATCTATTAAAATTATTTCAACTTTACTAGGCAATTGTGAAACAAATCTGAATCTCTACATAAGGATAATATGAGTTAAATGTGCATACTGCAAACCATTGACAAGGCCACATTCTGGCTTTGGTAACAAAATTAACTGGTTTACAGTCCACCTTCTACACACACACCCCCACACACACGCAAAGCATCAACTGTTTTGACCAACACTGTACCTCCAGATACTTAGTGAAGATTTAAATTTGGGGATGCGATACTGTTATAAACACCTACCAAATATATTTGAACTAGTATGCCAATTTTCATCTACTTATTACTAATGGCTGTCTGAAGCAATTTATAAAGAAGCCAGCTAACTGGGAAGAGCTCAATGCTCAAATGTTAAGGTGTATATATGCTTATTGGGAGTGTGGAGAGTGGTAATTCACTAACATAAATGCCACCTACTTGTCACCATCTCAGATTTAAACTCTTGCCATGTGGCTTTTACAAACAAGAATACTAGCAAATATATTTCTACATTTTATAGGACTTCAATTGTAATGGTAACCTGTGCCAATTCACATAACATGTAACTTGGAGTAAATAATCAATTTTCCCTAAGCTTTTGGTTTGTCTACAGAATTAATTAAAATAAATTAGATCAAAAAACTTAATGATTTCTAATATCCTCTTTAACTTAAAATTCCAAAGGGTATAATTCTAGTGTTCAATATAATTATTTACGGACGTGTTTGATTATAACAAA